ATGGTTATAGGAGAGGATTGCTGAGAATATTATTTTCCATCAGGCCTCGTAACTATGACAAATCTGGGAGATTTTAAATGAGAGACATATGGACATATGGACAATATAATTGAAAAGATAACATGAATTTAATTTAACGAGTAATGACACTTTACAGCAATGCCTTTTTTCTCTACAGTTGATCTGAGTAATGTGATGTCGATTCTAGCCCTAGTCTGTTTTCGGTCTTGGTCTTTATCTCGCCTTAGTGTGTCTTGGTCTTGGTCTTGGTCTTGGTACCCTCAAGTCTCGGCAGTGTCTTGGTCTTGATACCCTCCAGTCTCGGCAATGTCTTGGTCTCGGTTTAGGCGGTTTTGACTACAACACTACTGCATGGTGGTGCCATGGTTGACACTGTTGCCTCACAATTCTGGAGAGCCGGATTCAAGTCTCCACCCAGGCCCTATGTGAGAGGAGTCTGCAAATTGTTATTGTGGGGGGTTTTCTGGGTTCTCTGTTTCCCCCCCACCATCCAAAAGCATTGCCAAAATTAATGTTAGTTTTACAGTAATATTAAACATTCTAGTTTACAGTTAAATTCAAATACAAAGAAGATGTGCACTAAGTGATATATAATTTTAGACACAGTACATTTTTCATATGTGGACCATCCTTTGTATCTCTGATTTCCTACAGGACGACAGCTAACCACATAAGAATATGAATTCTTTAGGGAGGGTAAGAATCCCTTTGGGGGGGGGCTTGAACATGCTTGCCCAAGGACATTGGTTCACGTTACTCGTGCCTTGTTGCCAGTCGAGTTCTGTTTCCTGAGACCCTGGTACCTTTCACAGTCCACCACTTCCTCTTTTTTCCCTTGCTTTGATGTTAAAATGGCTCTTTTAGTTCTGTTCCCACCAGTGTTATTATACTTTTGATCTTTTTATTTATTTTTTTTAAATATCATTTTCAGTTATCATTTGAAATAATTTTATTGTGGTTTCATTAGTTTTTATTTTAAAGAAATATTTCTATTTAATTTTTCATATATTTTTTTATTTCAGCTTAAATTTTATTTCTAAATAAATATTTCCTAAAGTTGAATGTTTCTCATCTTCAGTGAATCCTATGTGAATAAACAGTGCTCATTATGTACTAATCGCCTCAAAATGGGCAAAACAAGTTCCAGGTGTTGCTGCCATGGTAATCAAGCATAAAGAAATCATTACTTTTGATAATTTGCCTTTTTAAAAAATGGTAAGGGATATATTTTACATTTGTTTTCATTTTTCCACTTAATTTCTGCAGCAATATTTACAGTTTTGTTATTGTAGTTTAATTTTATTTTTGTGTCATTTCTGTTTAGGAACATGTTTTTTTATAGTGTCAGTTTTAGGTTCCATTACGATCACGATAATAACTGTAGTTCCGACCACTATTTTGCAAACCCATCTCCATTCCCAAACCCAAATACATTTTCTGTTTCTCTCTCTTATCCTTGTGTCAGGTGGCTTTGCTGACTGTCCCACCCAAGCCACCGTCACAGAGACAGAGAGAATTAGAATTGTAGCTTCACTCTGGATCAGATAGGGAGGACTGTTGACAGATGCAGAAAGGCCAATCAGAAGGGAATTGCAGTACTCAAGATATGAGATTATCAGGATCTCAAACGACTGAGAGAACATCATGGGGAACAGACTTATTCTTTAGATCTCCTAGAGGAAGTGCATGTTGATAACTACTATATCATGCTGGAAAGGATGCCCTAATTTGATGGTGAGGGGGGAACAATGACCGACAATATCAAAAGTAGCTAAAAGATCAGGATGGGTGCTGGGTTTAAAGCTTTGCTGGCAGGAGTCAACTGTCTCCTGCCTTGATGTTCAGTGAGTAGTTGAGGTTTAGGGGAAGAGCACTTGATGTTTATAATAAATTTCAAATCATGTCTTGCTTCTCTGCCACGGGACCAGTCCTGACAAGTAAACCGAACAGATGAAGATCGATGCAAATGATTACAATTCTGTAGGGAGTGCCATAGTCTCACAGATGCAGGCTTTTTTGTCTATTTGGCCTGTATGTGTGTGTGTGTGTGTGTTGTCATGTTTATATTACATTATGGGGACAAAATGTCCCCACAATGTGATAAAATCCTGTTATTTTGACTTTGTGGGGACATTTTTTCGGTCCCCACAAGGGGAAACTCAATTTTATAAAAATCAAATAATGCAATCAAAAAACAAAAAAATAAAACAGGCTGGGTTGGGGTTCAGGTTGTCATAGTTGGGATTAGGGTTATGCCCATGGAAATGAATGGGGAGTCCCCACAGTGATATAGATACCTAATGGGGATGTTTTTGCTCTCCCACAACTACCTGGCAGACAGTCCACATTTTTCTTCCTACTGGAAGCTTGGAGGGACCAAAAACATGGACCGTCTTGGGGGGCCCAAGGACTGGGTTTAGAAACTCTGAAGTAATACATATCTGAAACTCTCATCCTTGACTAGTGCTTTAGGTTTCGGTGTCAGCACTTTAGTGCTCTTGAAATCCTGGGTTAGGGCTTTAGGGCTACCCCAACTTGGTGCTTGAAGGAAGGAATGTGTGGATCAAAAGGCTTTTATCATTAGCGACACCCTGCATTCCCCTTACTCTTCAGGATTTTCTTATGTCGCAGGTGCAGATGGGCAGACCTTCAAAATAAAGACTTCCTGACTTTTTCTTTCAAGTAACGGTGGTGAATGTGGTCCCCAGCAGAGACAATGCATAAACCTCCAGGTGGTGTCAGAAGTGAAATATTAAGCCCACATAAGTGTCACCAACCCTAGTAAACCTGCATCATACTCAAGAGTCCCCTTTCACATCATTATACACATTGTGGAATCCAGAAGACTTTCTACTCCTACAACTCTCAAGCATATTATATATATCGAGAGTATGCCTTAACGCTAGCTAGAGAAGCCTAATGTCTTTTATAAGGCCACCTACTGTGGTATTACTGTTTTGCGCCAAGTGCTCACTGTTTCCCTCTAGTGGTGATTTCCTCCTAGCTGCTTTCTTCAAAACAGTATTTAAGATTGTCCTGAAATACAGAGATAACACAGAAATTTCCGGCAATATCGTTTTGTAGTTTTTGCACAACTTTCACTCAATACACAGCTAACATTCTTAAAATATTTTACATACTATTCTCTGTTTGTTTTGTTTCTCAGCAATTCAGTGTAGTTTTCTGCTCTGATATTGACAGATTCCATTGCGTGCTTGTAACTTTCATAGTTATTACTATTTTTTTATACTTTCATTATATATTTTACTTATTTATGTATTGAACATTTATATGTCTTAATGAAAAGTGGATATTCTGATTCAGAATCATTCCTGAATTACATAGTAATCTTGTTCTTCATTTCAGGCATGGTCAGTAAGAAAAAAACCATTGTGTATATTGTAAGTAAGTTGTATATTTGCTTATATGTACAGGAATGCTGTTCTTAGTGACTGATTGTGTTTGGCTGCGATACTGTATCTTTATCTATTCAATACATTTGCCTGTGTCCATCACTTGTTAAGATACGGCATGTGCCTCAGTGATTTGCCCAATGCCAGTCGGCATCACCGATAAATGGAGGGAAGACTGTGATGTTCTTAGAATGCAAAACCTCCGTGGCAGAAGACGAGTGTTTAAGCGGCATAAACTGCTTCGTTTATTCCACACTTATAAGTACTCCTAGGCTCCTTTTAAAGAGTAAGTGAAATCCCACCTTGGCTCTGTGCAAAGTTTGCATGCTCTCTCTGTCTGTCTGTTTGCTCGGGGCTCTGTTCTTTACTCCTACAGTCCAAAAAAATGTAGTGGGGTGAACTAGCATCTCTAAATTGTCTATACCAGGTAACTGTGTGTCTTCCGGCCATTTCTCTGCCTGCGTGTTTAAAAAAGTGGTACCATTTTACAATAAGACTACCCTTATAAAGGGTTTATGAATGGATTGTAATCAGGTTATTAATTAGGTTTATACAGTTAGTAAATCATTAATTATAAACAAGTCACAACAGTTTTTTTTAAGTTATTACCATTTATAAGTCGAAAAAAGAAATAGAATTTTATCAGGAGGGAACACCCTGGTCAGCAAATTTTACTGGTTGAGCACTGAAGTGGTACCAAAATATTTAATGACGCTTTTGTTTTTTTTACTGAACCAAGTACTAAAATTTTAGTGCCCATCACCTGGTGTGTGATTACAGATTACGGATTTGCATCTGAAATTCACTGATCAAACAAGACTGATATCCAGCGTAGCTATAACTCAGTGCACGATTCTTCGCTTCGGTTCTATAACGAGTTTAAGCCAAAGCAGCAAAGGGTTACATCTGTTTAATCATATTGCTTTCATTTCTTAAATACCGTTCCAGAGGTGATGCAACAGGGCAGATCCTGCCAACAGGGCAGTAACAGCTCAGGCAGGGAATTCACTACTACAACATTTGTATATAAAAGTGCATTACTTTGTGGCCCATGCATATACGCTGTCAATACCAAATTAACTGCATTGCACATTAAAAGCCATGCCATTGCACTGTATCATTTTTAAATAAACGTCTTGCTTTATTAGCAGAGGTCAAACTATTTCAACATCCTTATTTATAAAGACAATAAATATTTCATTATAGTAATAAAAATATTTTTTGTATACTATCTTAAAATCACAAATGTATCATGTTAGTAGCTTCTCATATACACTTATCAAAACGGCAGGTGTGGACATAATGCCACCTTTATGACCCAAATACTCAGTCATGAAACAATGCTGGCTACCAACAACAGCATGTTATAATGCTGTAAAGCTGACAGGTACAACTAATGCATCACAGCGGGGGTAGGAGACCCTGATCCTGGAGTGTCAATATCCAGCATGTTCTTTATCCTATCTGATGAGTCACTATCTGCCTGAGATCAGATGTGGTTCATCAGGAACCAGGTAGGATGGAAAACCTGCTCCATACCAGCACTCCAGGATCAGGGTTGCCCACCCCTGCATTAAAGGGTTCAAGTTCATGCTGATAGGATATCCATGATCATGCCAGCTCCTGGTCAGTGGAAAGAGAAGAGACACAAGAGTAACAGCCTGCTTTTATGAACTCATTATATATCACTCCAATGCTGCTGAACTGTCAGGCACCAAACTTAGTAGGCTGGTTTCTGAGCACTGTAAAACCATTAGATTTGTGGTGAAATTTGGTTAGAAGATACTGGGAATTTCAGTAAGTTCAGCTATAGCAATATTTACGGGTTGGGTTATAATGACTCATAGGGTGCACAAAAATTTCAGCAGAAAAATGATAATCATGACGTGCGTGATGACATCAGCACATTCCACCAATCAGCTTGCAAATCCCTTAGAAAGAGCCTGCACACTTTAAAAAACATAATATTGCACTTAATAGTAAGAAAGTTATTGGAATATCTCACACTATTGCATCTCCCTCAATTTGTCTTTGTAGCATCCGAACCAAGTGTGTGTCAAGGAACACAGCAGTTTTTTGGGTTTTCCGCCGGGAAGAGACGATTTTCCCAAATAATCAAACATCCGTCCCTTTGCCCAAAGCAAAGTTATAAAGTTACATTTCCTCTGGTACTAATCTACAATACCATTAGAGAGATTTAGTGTGTTTGTTTTCTTTGGAAGTCAATGCAAAATAAATAAGAGAAAATAATACATATTATTATAGACCTGGCAATATAAAAATAGAACATATTTGAAATTTAACAGTCGATGACAAAAGGTTTCCATGGAAACGGACGTGTGCGCTCCCCATCGAGCGTCCGGTCTCTCAGTGTGTGCCGGAGCTGGCTTTCAAGCGCTGTGCCCTGCGTGTCCGTTTGGTCACGGGGGTGAAGCGGAAGTCCTCCGGCAATTCTGCTGTGCCCCCGGGGGGGCGCTTCATGAAGTGAGCCTCCTGCTGTGTCTGTGCAGTCCGTGAGCCCTTCTTGGGGCGCCCCTTGCGGTTGAATCCCAGATACCACCCCTTATACTTCACAGACAGTAACGCAGTGTAGTTATTCTCCAGAAACTCCTCGACAAAGACGCACTCCTGGCTCCTCCCGTTGCGCTGTGGAGACACGAAGAAACTGTCAGACGACTCATCGCCTTGCCGCCACATGCCCGTCCCAGACACGGGGTCGATCGGGCTGAAACAACGATGAAAGCCCATGTTAAACAACGTTACATTCAAGCCTGTTTAAATCTTGAAATCCATAAAGCAGAGAAGTGACGATGTGAATAACTAAAGACTCCAAAACAGCGCTAACCTTTTAAACTCTTAAGCCATTTCAGGCTGGTTGTTTTTGGAGACTGCAAATGAAGTGAAATATCTTTGAAATCATAGGCAGAACATGCCAAATCAATTCTTACATGCAAGGACAACCCAGCTGTTTTGGTGGGGAGACCTCTTGCCATCTATACCATTAAATTACTGATGAGCATCCTACTTTATTTAACCTATTAATAATATATTGAGTACCAATTCCATCCATCCATCCATCCATCCATCACCATAACCACTTAATCCCAACCAGGGTCAGAGGGAATCAGAGCCTATTCTGGGAACAGGCAGGAATGAACCCATAAGCATAGAGGAAAGTGATACTGCTGTGTATAATGACCCATGGGGGATGTGATTGGTGTTGCAGTAATAGATTCTTATTTGTGATCATGATATATTGACAAGGCTTAAGAGAAACATACCTTTCCGATAATCTTTCCATTTCGGTTCATGCAAATGTAGTGGTCTGTCTCCATTCCTTTAATACGCACGTGACTCCCAAAGGTCTCGGTCTCAACCACCAAGACAGCTGAAAGTGAGCAAAGACATTATCATTGAAGCTGTAGGGTTATGACACAAGATAGCCTTACAGTGCGCTTCGGAGCAACAAAGAACCTTGTTCTTTTAATAATATTACTGTGCGTTTTCTAGGATAGAAGAAGAAGCAGGAAAAATAGTGGACATGGTACCAAGGGGAGCAGAAGTGTGAGTAACCATAGTTACTCAGTGAAAGCAGTGCAGTGTAAGCAGTGTTAGTAAAGTAACAGCATTACGAATGTATACACACTGTATGCAGAGTAATGTATGCATACCATGTAAGTTCTGTAATTTACACAACTGTACAGTACCAAATGTGGCAGGTGACATGGAAAGTTAATGAATCTAAGACCACCAAAGTTACACTATAGGTGTTGCATGACCCAACATGGTGGAAAAAAACAATGCTAAACATTATAGACATCAATGATATTACAGTATTCTCAAGAATAATGAAAAAGAGTTGTAACACATTCTTATATTTCACAAAGTGAGATGTTTAAACACGAGTGTAGAATCAAAAGTGCAGAGTTGGGTAATTCAGGTCCAGAGAGTAAAACCCTAGACTGGAATTTTGTTTCAACCAACCAGTTGAATACTCTGTGACTGCGACTTTTTATGCTTAACTGGTTGGTTAAAACAAAATCCTGGTCTGGATTTTTACTCTCTGGACCTGAATGACCAAACTCTGCAAAAGTGGCATCTGTATGTGTCATTCTATGATACCCCCCACTGGATAAAAAGTAATCTGTTTTAGCTATCTGCCATTCACTGCAGAAAATCCGTTCTTGAGATCAACTGTACTTCAGTTCAGTCCACCTAAGCATTAAAGATGGTCACAAGTGTAGATTTTAGCTTAACAGGAGGAAGGTCCCCTGACTACAGTATTTTCTATCTGCACAGAAAAAAACATTTAAATGAAGACTAAAACACACCAGGTAGGGAAATTTTGTACATCATCATACATCTCCAGCTTGAACTACTACAACTGCTACCAGTTGCGTGTCCCGGCATCTGCATGTAAGTCAGACGTCAGTATCAGTTAGCTGAATACGTATGCGGCCGCTCTGACTTGAGCTTTATCTTTGGGAAACGTCTTAGAATAACAACAGAGCTACATGTAATCCTCTAGTCGTGCTGTGCCAAGCTGATGCAGCCTCCGCAGGAATCTCCCCACGGGGTTTAAATGCTGGGGAGTGTTTGGTTAAGTGATTTTTTGCCACCAAGCATGTGCGCATGAACGCCCTCACTCCAGAAACACCCGGAATGTAACTATCCAGGCATTTAGCGAAAGTTGGCAAATCTCTGACGTATCACATAAGGCCAGAAATGCAGCTGTCAAACATTCAGGCAACTTTTTACTACTATATAGTGGGAACCACTGAAATAGCAGTGGAATAAGTATTAGAAATTAGAATAAGCATTTGAAATTAAACTACAGCAATGGAAATTTCTTTAAGGACTTTTAGTGAACTCAGTACAAGACCATGGGGTCTGGAGTCTATCCTAGGAGGCACAAGAATGGGAGGATGGGATCCAGTCTATTTCAGGGGGTGCACACACACACACACACACACACATTTCTATTCATATCTTTGTGGGGACCATCCGTTCATAAATATGGGCATAACCCTAATCCCAACTATGACAACCTTAACCCCTACTCAGCCCTTAAGCTTAAGCATCAGTAACCAAACAAAATATGAGACTTTTGGCATTTCACATTTTTTGAATGCATTCACAGATCTTTGCGGGGACCTGAAAAAAGGTCCCCACAATGTAAAAAAAATTAAACCTAAACCTAATCCAAACACACACATACAATGGGCATTTTGGAGACACCAGTTTACCTAACTGCATGTTTGTGGAATTATGGAGTAAACCTGTCCAATATGAGAGAGAGAGAGGTAAGGGGCAAGTTATTACAGCGCGTTGCCTCACCCACCACACAACGGACCATCTCAGGAATGAGAACCAGAGTGCAGCCATGCAGTGGGTGATACCTCAGCACCACACAAGCCCAAATGGACCAATGTCCAATATGAGGACAGCAAGCAAAACCCATAAAAACACAACAGGGGTAGGATTCAAGGACCCACTCCAAGAGTGACATGACAGTGCTGCCCACTGAGTGTAATAGTATATTTTTTAATTTATACTCCTGAATATAAATTGTGAAGGCATGCTATACTAAATACTACTGAAACTCATTAGCACTGCAGCATTTAATCTTGATAGGAACCTTTAGCATATTATCAGATTCATATTTAAGAAAGCTCTTAAATATCATAAAATTTATTTATTTAGTAATTGCTTTTATATAGAGAGTAGCACAACTGAGAAAGCAGGGTCTCATTTGGGGGTTCTGGGTCTTACTCAAGGGGCCAATGGAATGACATGGCTGAGCATGGAATTTTAACCAGTGACCTTCCCATCACAGAAGCAGAGTCCTAACCGGCCAAGACACACAACTGCCCCTGTTAGTATCTAAGGGAATCGAGCAGAGCATCACCACAAACATGGTGCCCTTTGGTTTTTGCACACAGGAGCACTTCCTTACCATACTGGCCCCCATCTTCCCCGTTGGCATTGACCTTCTTGCCCAAGACCTGGACGTGTCTTCCTGTGGTACGGCTGTATAGCTGGTAGATGCGTATCTGCTTCCGGCTCAGATCTTCCGGGTGTCGCGTGTGGTTCTCAATGTACAGCCGAAAGTCAGCTAACCTCTGCTGAGACTCCTGGAAAAGAAGACACGTCATTTACATGTCAACCATTTCTTTCCAGACTTTTATCTTGTCGGCAAATGTAAACAACTATAAATACATTTGGTCACAATATCCCTTTCAAATTAAATCAGATAAACATCAATGTGAATTTAATTACTGCTCATTAAGGTCACAGAAGTCAAATATTTTTAAAAATCCGTAATGGTGAGTTCAACGTTTTTATTTGTTTTCACCAGTGGTTGTTGTGTTTAGTTATACTGGCATGACACTCACAGAGTCCCTTTATAAAACATTGGTACTTTTAATACATTTCTGAATACAGTAAGCCTATGTGGTAACGTTTTGCATTAACTGCAGATTTATAATGCATTTATTATGCATTCATAAAACATTCAGTGCATCTTCATAATGCATTCATAGAAATGTTTGTCAATATCATATAATGTTTGTTATCATTATTGCATATTAAAGCTAAGGTATGTTACATGTTGCTTAAGAATGTTCTATGAATGCATTATGAAGGTGCATTGAATGTCCTGTAAATGCATTGAAAAGGTATTGTGAACGTGCAGTGAATGTAAAGCGGTACTGTCTCTTTTACAAGAGACGTGAAGAATTCCTGCTAGAGGCCACCTGCTAGACCAAGCATATTTTTGTAAGAGAATAATGATAAAGTACATATCTTAAGTTGGTTTTTTTTTCACAATACAGCTCAATGAGCCACATGTCATGTTAGGAAAGTAGGTTATCCTATACTTCATTTACAAACAATTACATACCTGAAACATGCAGTCCTTTTGGCGCTATATGTAAACAAATATCTGCCTGAGATTACTTAAGAATATACTAGAATAGCTATAAAAAAAACACAGTGTAGGAATATGGGACTGTCAACATTTCCAAGCAGTAAAAGAGGGTCTACACACACACACACACACACACATACAAGCACAGAAACACACACACAACGCACTTAGGCTTTTTTTATACGTAGACAGAGTTGGCCTACACTCTAAAATAATGATAAAAAAGTACAGTATAGTAAATACTGTACATAAACCAGTAACTTAGATGTATATTATCATAACCAAGTATTATATACAGTAAATAATTGTAAGGACTACTTATATATAATCGGCAGTGCAGTAGGTTTGTTTACACCAGCATCACCATAAATAAGTGAGTTAAGCGCTGCGCTACGGCAGGACGGCTATGACGTCACTAGGTGATAGGACTTTTCAGCTCAGACAGATCCTCAAAAGTACTGTTCAGAATATTGATTGATTGCATCAGCAGTATCCCAACTGCTGGGCTAATGTGTCGTTTTTGTTTTGTTTTGTTTTTTGTTGTTTGCTGTGATGCTTAAAAAGCGTAAACTTGCCAAAGCAATTAGTCACACATAGGAGAAATAATCTGACAACTGGTATGAAGATGCAATTAAAGCTTTATATTGGCATAAGAACAAGATCTGATTACATTAATATTAGTGTGTGTGCCAATTATTGTTAGAACATTCTGATCATACAACCTTTTAGCATCTAAACTATTTTTAAATACTGTTTCTGTTTCTCATAAGTGATGCTTTGTTATGAAAGCATTACAAAATCTAACGACATTGCTCTGGCCATTAACCAGCATTTTAAATGTATTTTAGAAGTGACGCTCCACTCCAGATGCTGGCTATATAAAGTCATTTCCAGATATCCTAGACAAAAAATAGCTATTAAATGTATGTGGGTATTTAACACAGTAAACAACATATTTAGATGGAATAAAAGGCGTGACAGTGCTATAACTCTATGTCTATATTATTTGCTAGATTTAAACAAAATGATTGCATGCTTTCATTAGATGTTCATGTTCCCTGTATCAGCCTCAGAGCAGGAAAACATGCAGACCAAAATGACAACTTCAGTTTATGAGAGATTTATAAATAATTTGTTAAAATCTTCAGATGCCTATCGGGTTTTCCTGTACTGATTCTGAAAACAGTGGACATACACTCTTCAAAAAGGTCTGTCAGCTTACTACTTTAGAAAAATGCACGGTCAAGGTACTAGAATGGAATTGGGCAATATTTGTCGTAATTTTTATTTTAAGTAATTCAGCTTAAGTATTGGTTGAAAAGGTGTACTACACGTCTTTCAGCAAAATAGGATGACGGCTTTAATACAGGTAACGATCGACACAATGTTTAATTCTACTAAACAATATTGATATAAGATTCATGCAAGACTCGTGAATATTTCGAACAAGACGGATCGATAACTATCAACTGACTGCATGGAAAGTAGTTACGTTTCATAACAAATGAGCAGTAAGTGCACGCTTAATAAGTGGGAAATGCAAATTTAAATAATAACAATTTAAAATACTAAGAGATACTAAAAAGAATACTCCTTTTTTATGATAACCATCCATCCATCCGTCGCGGAGCTTTCCTCCCATTTGCTCCCAGGTAAATACGATAAGGTTTAATTATCACCTAAGCTGTGTTCTCGGAGTAAACGTAATGATATCAGTAATGACATGAATAATAATCTTACCTGTAGCTGGAAATACAGAACTAGGAAATGTAAACACCTGCGGGGGGAGAAAAGAACAAAATAAATCACAGATAATTACACGAAATACATACCTGGATCGGCAAATGAAACTGGCGTTTAGCGACTTCTATTGGTAAGAATGTGCGCCCTGCTTTAACAAAAAGAATAAAATACAATCCTTACACGCAGATGAACCTTGAAGGGAAAAAAGGCATCTTCAGTTGCTGAAATACACCTGTCTCCAGTGTCTAAAACTGCCTAAGAAAAAGCGTGGAGCGCAGGGTCCTTAAACGGAATATTCTGGCGGAGTCCTGAAATGCCAGCGCAATGATAAGTGAGCGGTGGAGCACCGTGCCAGTGGTTGCAACATTGGGTTGCTTCCTTGTTTTTCAAATGTACCAGAAGAAAAACTGAAGAATGTATTTTGCTTCACCCAGATACCGTCTCAGTCCACATCCACAGCCCAGGCAACATATGCACAGAGCCGAAAGGGAGCTGCGAGATTCATCCAAGTGACCTGCGGGTTTCCTTCTGTTTAGGACAATCCTGCGAGTGCAACTTTTCCCTTGAAATTGTGCTGAGAAAAACGTTGGTAAAAAACGTAAAAAATATTAAATGTAGGCTATCTGGGTATAGGACATCTAAATGCACAACTATTTTTTGCCTGTTTTAACAGTTCAGAAGTACTTCATAATAATACTAAGTTGGATTAAATAAATGCATTAGGTATGAAGTGATTGTAATGCCAGAAATATCAATGCAAAGACGTGAGTAACATGCCGCCGCCGGTCCTAACTGCACAGCGCATGTTGTACGGGCTGCCTGTGCAGTATCTGCGGTTAGAAAGACTTTCTGTTTTTCCTTTTCTGTTCCTAGTGGGAGGAAACTTGTTTGTCGTTTGTACCTGATAGGGCAGTATATGTAAGCACACACATACATGTAATTGTGCTGCTGTCCTGTTTTAATTTCACATCCATGACAATTTTATTAAAGACATGTTTTGATTAAGATAATGCAATATAATGCAAAGATTCATATAAAACGTTAAAATTAATAGCTAGGAGGGGTGTAACGCTACACAAAATTCAGTTCGATACAAACCTCGATTCTGGATTCACGATTCGGTTCAATTTCAAAACAATTCTTAATTTTACATTATTTTAAAAATGCAAATACAGACAATTAGGAACAGCTGTATTTGCACATTGTAAAAATGAATAAGCATGTGTAAATTAATTTTAAATCCAAAAATATAACAATCATAAAGAAATAAATCCCGAGTCTTGTACTACGGACGATGTTTGAATATCTGTAGCGATAAACACCCCTGTACCGAAATTATTTCATAGCCGGGTCTGAATTTCCTGGCAATAGCGCCTTATATGTCAGGGGGCGACTAACTTGCAGAAGCTGTTTCTGTCTTGCTTCGGTGATACACACACTGGGATAATGCCATCTCAGAAGAGTTTCTCTCTCTCTCTCTCCAGTGCTACTGTACTATTGGGAGACCAAAATGTTCCCAAACCACCGATTATGACTGCCAGTAACCATGCAGCATTAGTCGAAACCGACTCACAATCACGTACCGGTATATTTTCAGTGTTAAACATATAGGACTATCCACCCATGTCAACAAATGTATTCATTCCTTTCATTGTGCATAACGAACCGAAAATGATGTTGCAGCTCGGTATATATCTTTTTGTAACCGTACTTTTTGAGTTACCAAAATATGCATTGCTCAAAATTAACATTGGGATGCATTTCAAAATATAACCTAAATATGCAAATGACGAAGACGTGGTATTGTAGGTTGCACAATATAAACAATGATTAAGAAACCTCTCAGCCTGCCAGCATTGTGACAGTCCTCAGTGTATAGCCAGGTGATAATAATTTGATGTGAAAATATAAATCAAAATCGGCATCACAGAAAAGGAGTGAATTGTTTTGATCTATCCATCAGCCTACAGACTTGCGGCAAGTATAAAGGAAGAAGTCAGAGCAGTGCAGCCAGAACAGACAGAGAGCCTGTATGTACTATGCCCAAAAGCTAAATTAACTAATAAACATCCTGAGAAGCTGGGAGGTGAGTTGTTCCCAGGTTCTTCATAAAAGATTGACCTGCCGTGTTGGCGCCATGCCAGTCATTGTTATTGCATTACATCATTTGCATGGCATGTTCATCCAAACAAGCTGTATGGCTATGCAGTTTGCCCATTCAAACAGGTTGTTGGATACTTTATCATTTTATTGATCCAGGTGAAGTCAGGTAAAGTAGCAGGCAATTCGCCTTCGGGGCATAAGAGATTTACATTTGAGGCAAGTTCCACCTCGCATTTATTCACAGTGGATTGGGGAAACGCAGCCTGGCCACGTTAATACAATGAGGGAAGGAAACTTGTTGGCTTTGGACATTCGTCATGCTGCCCTCCAGAGCATTGGGTGCCAAAAGAATTGGTCAGTGTACAGATACCTTTCAGAGCACATAGTTAAGAGGAAATCCTGGCCTGCCTGCGACCAACACAGAAGGTTTTAGTAAGGCACCTTTTTAATTCAAGGTTCTGCTGAATCACAGTTTACTTATAAAAATAATTATGGGCTCTTCTGAATCCCTGTTTATTGGTTAATACAGTAGTTTAGATTAGTGACCATTGTCTGTTTGAGTCCCAACCTCCACGTTTCTGTGGCACCCCTGAGCAATGTATTTAACAATATAATTAACTTGAATTACTCCATAAAAGATATCTGTTCATGTAAATGGGTGAAAAATTTTTCTTGTGATAAAAGTGCAAATATGTACTGCACCAAGCACTGCTGGTTGAGCTCTACGCTGCCATCTCATCATCACACCCTTCACCACCTTCTGGTACACTTCTGCATCTCCACACACCAAGCAAAATTTGCAGCAAATGGTGTGATATATGTGCCCTGCGATGCCCACTGTGTGTATATGTGCCCTGCGATGCCCGCTGTGTGTATATGTGCCCTGCGATGCCCGCTGTGTGTATATGCGCCCTGCGATGCCCACTGTGTGTATATGTGCCCTGCGATGCCCGCTGTGTGTATATGTGCCCTGCGATGGCCTGGGCTTCCAGGTGCCTCCTGGGTTGACCGGGGTGAGTGGTTAGAATATGGATGGATGCTCCAGGTCAGGCTATGCATGCACTCTGCATACTGATACCAATCATATGAAATAAATTTGACATTAGAAAGGCAAGAAAACATGTTTAAACCAAAATAAAATCTAAACCTTCTGCCTAAGAATTGCTACAACCACTGCTCTAATTAACTCAAGCAAAAGTCAACAGGATCAGACTGATAGAGGATACACTGGATACAATAATGATGATTTAATGTAGCTAATGATATTACCTAATAAGGTCATGAAGTGAGCAACAACTTCTAGTACATTGAAAAACCTGCACAATAATGGAAGAAATTCAGAGGCAGGATTTGAAACTGCAGCACCAGAGTTTGTGGGGTGACAGTGATGCCCACTGAGCCACCGAGTCATATGGACTCTTCCTATATGTAAACAAAACTGGTCTCGTCGCAGTGCATCCCATTTTTCTACCCATGTGACACACTGAGCCGCTACTACTCACATTGTACTTTAAGCGTCAGCTGAATTCATGCAGACCTAACATTACTAAGCAAGAGCTGTTTACAACTTTATAAAAGATATTAATGCCTTGGTTAATGTCAGTCATATACCTAAGTACATTTATGATCACCGTTATAAATGTACAAGGAAGGAATCGTGTGCAGAGGGTTAGAGGATATGAGGGACAAGAGCTGGCCAGGAAACATGATGCAGGAATCCTGTTAGGAGAAGGGAATAAGAGACACGGCTCCGATTAAATATGATGCTTAACGTATGCGAGGTGGCCAGGTTATTATATACACCGGCCTGTTAACACAAACAGGCTGCTCTGCCAAACAATGCATCGTGTGACTGTAACTAAGTACAACCAGCATTTATCGAAAACAATAGCTGATATAAGAATAATGTCACTATTATTCCATTTTAGATGATTGTTTAATTATGTTGGTAAGCCCTCCTAAATTGGATTCATTTGAATCATTAATTGAATGAATCCACTCAAAAGAAGACAAGCAAAGCTTCTACTTGCAAACATATAACCTGGTTCAGCAATTAAACTCACATTTTATATATATATTTGAAAAATAAATATAATTATTCATTCAAATTTGGCCACTGAAACTGTTCACGCACAGAAAATGATCTATGAGATTATTTTAAAGCATCTCTTCTGCTTTATTTCAAATTTGAGAAAGCACTACTATATCCATAGTAATAATAATAATAATAATATTGTTATTAATATCTGTTAAGATATGGAAAAGAATAAAATAGTGGTGAAAGGGTGTCCCATTGTTATGAAGCACCACTTTCTTATTTGTTTGGGTTTCTTGTTTTGGGCTCTAGAACACTTTAATCTATTGTTGTTGTTGTTATTGTTGTTGTTGTTGTTTGTTTGAAGCCTCTCACGGCCCTGACTGGGATATGTGGTTTGGAATATGTATGAATGGACATTGTATTGTTTGCATACCCTATAAACATAATAAAGGGTATTCTGATGGCAGTTGTTTTACACAGCCTGATCCGTTTGATTCTGAGGCTTCAACTTTTTGATACATAGAAACAATGTTCGAATGGCTCTTCAGAATATAGATTCAAAAACAATTGCTGGCCATAATGTAGCTTAAACGCTGCTGCTACCCAGCGGTGACTGGACAAAATGTGTTTTCTAAGAACTCCTACAAATGTTTGTGACAGTCCTACGGCTTGGAAACCAGACCCCTCAAATCACATTAATCCAACAGTGTTATACAAGCAGGTCAGGTCTGGTCAGGTTGGGGAGCTTGTGCTGATGCAGCATGTTGTCGAACCCACCACATGGTGAAACTCCTCGGGATCCTGGCTGGTGACCCCCCCAGGCAGACACATGGTCCAGTCCCACCCCCCGGATATGGCCATCCATCTGCCGCAGTCAGGTGTTACATGGGTGTCCCCTTAGCCTGGTCCAGCCACTCAGGTCCTCAGCAATGAGGATCCTGCGAGTCGGATCACCCTCAGAGAAACGCGTCACATGTCCGTAGTGCCGTAACTGACGCTGTTGCTATAATGATCTGTTTCATAGCAGCAACTCATGACTCAGGCTTTCTACGATGCATGGAATGATACGCTGGAAGTGTCGCAATGGGAATGGAAGGAAGACAGGGATGTGCCAGTTACATCCGCACCCATGCCGCAATGTGTCATTCTAATTGCGCTTTGCCAGACATTCTTCTGACACATCTCAAACTGGCCATTAAAACAAAAGCATTTAAAAAAAAAAATTCCATCACTATATTGTCCCAGGGACTCCAGCAGTGAATGGCTACACAAAAGGCCGTGGTGGAAACTGTAAAGCATGGTCTATCAAGGTATATTATGTAATATTGCTTTCACTGAATTTTTACCATTCGAGCAATAGAAGAAAGCGGAAACTTTGGCTTTCTCATATCTCATATCGATACCCTGTCAGACATAAATATACAGGTGAGGGTGAAGCTTTTGCTCAGGGTGGAGGGTCAGCTATTTTTCAAGCCCCCAGAAGCAATTTTCAGGGTTAAGAGTCCAACTATAGTCACCCCGCCACCCTTGGGAATCAATCCAACAACCTTCAAGTCAAAGGGACCTAACCTGCAGAGCCATACACTATTATTTCTCTACTGAATAATGTTGACTGACACATTACCTGATTTTCTAATGCTCAAAACCAATCTTATTTTACAGTTATATTCATTTATTTGG